TAGAATGTAGGTGTCGCAAATCTCGGTTATAGGCCTATAGGCGTACGGCATAAGTTAACACGGCACGCAATATCGGGTATGGGGAGCTAATCTACGCTCTACTCGTCTACTCGTATGAATGTCGTTTTTTCCCCTTCTCAATTGTCAATCCAGTCATCATATGCGAGTGCGTTGAAAGTGGCACAAGCCCCGAGATGTGATTCTCCTTGCATACACGGAGAGCCGATCGCATTCGAGGGCGGGTGAGTGGAGCACCAACTAGCGACTCGTACACGCGTGAAATAGGAATTAGCCGGATGTGATCTTTATTTCCTTTTTTTTCTTTTTCTCTCTCTCTCTCTCTCTCTCTCTCTCTCTCCCCGTCCGCAAAACACAAGCACCGTCGTATTAGTTTCGCGGAACTCACATTCGGAGCTGCGTGGCCTGTTTTGGCGGGCGGGATTCCCCAAGTTTTTTGGACTAACTAACATCCGCAATATTAACACGAGAGACGGGCCGCACGCACAGAGAGGAAACCATGATACATAGCGTGGCTGTTGGCTGTGGCTATTTCTCCTGCCGCTGCTCTGCGAGTGGGACTTCATCAAAGCATGGGTACTATGTATGTTTGCTATCAAATTCTTCCGTACGTACGGATACGATTAAAGGCTTTATCAAAAGCTGACGAAAGTCTTGATTGGCGTTGGCTCATTTCTAACAGTGAGACCCCAGACTGTCGGGAATATTCTCGAAATCCTTCGAGGGATCCTTACCGGCCGTGATGAGGTACCTGGTAGGTAGCTATGTAAGTTGCCAAGTTGCTAAGTTTCAGAAGATCCCAGTGAGAGCTCATATTAAGCTCGATATCCCAATTTAGCTTTGTGATGGACGTAATGGACGTAATGGACGTAATGGACGTAATGGGTAAGGTAGCCCGTCAAGTTTAGTTGCATAGAAAGTGACTGAAGTGTGTCCACGCCGAGAGCGTCGCAATGGCTCTAATTTATGTAGTAGTTCTGCTATGTACTGTCCTACATAACTAGATCTTGGAACAAGTTGGGCTTCTGATCCTACTACTACCTACCTACTGTAATCCAAGCTTGGCGCCCGAATTGTCGGGGACACGCCATGTTCCGTCTCGGTCAACTAAAACTGGCGTGATATGTAAAAGCTGAAACTAACACTATCAATGGCACCGGGGCTAGTTGCGCGTCTTTATCTTTTGATCATCTCCTATTGCTTAATTAAAAAGCCTTAGGTACCTCCCAGGTAGGTATTTACAGCGTATTTGGCGATATGACAGTTTTAAGCGGCTCATTAAAGCCCCTTGTGTAAGGACAGAGGGGAATATCAATTTTATTATTAGGGACCGTTTTATTTATTTATTTATTTATTTGAGCCTATCATTCAGCCGCACAGGGTGGCCTATCTGAAAAACCCTGGCGTTCTATGTACTAAGCCTTGCGACTCGCGAGCTGCAAAGTTATTACATGCCTAGCATAGTAAAAGATCAAGTCGTTCCAAAGTATGAAGAAACCTGTTTCTTCTCGGCTCTTTGTATGTAGGTGTTTAGACCTTGCTAGCGGCGTGGAAACACGTGCTTCACTTTTCCCCCTGAAAGGTCATGTCATGGGTAAGGCTTGGGTAAGAAGTGCTTTGGTTGATCGTAAAGCAGGGTTACCTTTTTCTCCAGACCGGGGTGATGCAGGTCCCGTCACATCGGTCACCGTCGCATCCGGCTGTCGATGGAAGGGTGATTTTGTCGGGTTCTCTGCATCGATTGCGTCTGCGCCTGCGCCTGCGCGAATGTCGCCCTATGTCGTCCTTGAAACATGTGAAGTCAATACCGATATGACAGGTAAGTCTCCTCGACACCTCGGCAGCGATATGCTTGGGCAGCCTCAGAAATATTGCCTCAGAACCCGACCTAACTGTACGCGACGGGCCGCGGCCAATGTACCTAGCTGCCGCCGGAAGGGGCCGAGACTCACCTGTCAAGTTTAATAGGCTGGTCCTTACATCCTAATGCCTGACTCCTGACGCCCGGTAGTTCAAGGATTTGCAAAACTCACTTCGTTCTCGAAGCAAAGCGAAGGGAATTATCATATCATCAGAAGACCCTTAAAAGCAAGGGGAGCTTGTATATAGCTCAACTTCAGTAAGTGGCTTATAGGCTATTATGAAACAATGACGATGGAATATTCCGAAGGGCCTTCGATACATCTTTATCTTGGTTACGGATTGCGTGTTGAGATGTCTTGCAAGATATCAAATAGGTATGCAAAAACTCGGCATTGGATATGATTATGGGCTCTGCGTGTCCACTGTCCGAGCAATTGGGTTCCAGCCGGCTGCATACGATATCTGATCTTAGTCTATGATCGTCTGTGCCCGTCCACCCACAGACTCTGCAATCCGGGTAGTCGACCTTTGACCTGCAGTCGAATTGAGAGCGCATAATCATAAGCGATATCTCTTGGTAATATGTACAAGGCCTTGGTGATATGTGTAGAGGTATATTAATGGTCGTTCTTAAGAGTAGTATTTTATTCTCAATGAGGCTAACAGATCATGGCTAAAATGTTCATCGTCGAGGGTCCTTGTCGGTGGTCCGTCCCATGCATGTCTATCAACGGTTGTGCCTTGCATATGCACTTCAACATCACTCGGGGTGGGATTGGTACTTAGATGAGCGATCATTTGGAATGAATGCCTGACTTCGACGGGTTTGAACGTTTCTCAGGGTATCATCCGCGCTGGTTCGTTCAGGGTTACCTTAGGTACGAATCAACATACATACGAATTATCCAATCGTGGGACATAAACAGTTACATGTACAGCAGTAACTATGTCCGATGTGTAGCAGTTTGAAATGGGAGGCACAGTTGGGGAAACATGTCAGATCGGCATTGTAGTGTAAATAGCTGCCATAGCTTCCTATTCGACATCACATTTTAAGATATCCTAGCTAGTATTCGAATTACATTAACAACCTAGGTTATCTACGAAGTAGTAACTCGTCTGAGCTTTTTCGGAATTCGGTCGAGTTTCCTCTTCGAAATTCGTCACCCAGCGGGATAGGTACATCTCGCTTCATCTCAGGCGAACCCCCTGGACAGCTTACATAGAAAGGGCCAGCCCAGTTTGCCAGTATTAAAATGCTGCTAATATTCCCTGTAAGTTCCCTGTAAGTTCCCTGTAAATTACTTGTGACTGGTCCACATTCTGCAGTTCGTCCGCTGTCGCTTGTCTGATGCGCTAACGCGCCGAACGTGCGTAGAAGCGGCTCTTTGCAGATGCCAAATCCTACGTAGTATACGTGGCTAAGTGACGAGAACAAAGGCTTTCTTCAGCAAATCGATAGTCTTGAACCATTGAGAGTCCTCCAACTCAACAAGCAGCCAGTCATCGCCTCATCCCGTAACTGCAACAACTTGCTTCCAATTAGACCTCTCCTCCTTAAGGTCGCTTAGTTCAACGGTAGCTTGACGGTAGCTTGACGGTAGCTTGACGGTAGCTTGACGGTAGCTTGTCACCTACCACATCGCTATCCCTTTGCCGTTAAGCCCCGCCCCCCGTTTGGATTGGCGTTCTAGCCTCCCTAGGAACGGCATGGCCTTGCTACGGCAAGGTACCTACCTGGTAGCTAGGCCCTGCCTTGCCAAGAAGCCAAGCTATTACAGCGGGCCATTTGGGCGACAGTTCCATATTAGCTACCTTAACTTTAGGTACCTAGGTAGTTATTCAGGGGAACCCTCGTCCGTTACCTTCTCTTGATTTTAGCACCTGCTTACATATTCCACGGATTTGGAACCGCTTGGTCAAATTTGACCCCTGATAATCTTGTCAAGCGTGTGTCTGTCACTTGCCTGTCACCTTGTAAGTTAGCACGCTCATAGGCTGTGATGCTGTCAAATGCTTGATTACGGCTGGTGATTGGGCTTTGCGAACACGAGAGTATTATGGCAGTACGGGCATGGAAGCAACATACTATGTATGTACAAAAGACAGAATATGTTAAGCTTCTATCACTACTCCGCATATACTATGCAAAGGACTAGTAACGTATCTCCTCCCGCGTTGTCTACCCATGCTCCACGTTCGATTGTGTACTATGTATGGTCATTTCTTGCCTCTTGCGTTTTCTACCCTTCGTGTACCTTACCTGCCTACCTATCACTTTTATCCTGGCGTCATGGTCTGGCCCTGTATCCCATGTCGAGTGGGTATTATTACGGATTACTTCGTAGTGTACATACGACGCTAGAACCTGGTTGGCTATGGGCTGTTTTCTTTGCTTCTGATATCTTGTCAACTTGTTCTACGATTAGTTACTCTATCTTGCTTTTTCCTTTCCGTTTCAGTTGTGACAACGATTCGGTACGGTAGCGAACCGCGAACCGCAAACCGCGAACTACGTCCTCTCCTTTTTTGTTTCTCTTTCTTTTCTCGGATTGTTCTACCCGTTTACCAGACCATTCGCTCTGTCTTACCCGTCCTGTCCTTGCGTTCTCTGGGGAAACCCATTACCATTACCATTACCCCAACTCGTGCATATCCAACCGAGCGTCTTGGACGTCCGACATAACGCAATGACTGCCGGCCTAAGCTTTTTGATTATATTTCACATGAGCGCGAACTTTCTTCTTTGACTGGCATATCTTGACAAACCGTTTCATTTCGTTGTACAACTTTTAACTTGTATATTTTTGTAAGTTGAAAAGCGCCGATATTGGGTTTTCTATAGTCCCTTTCTTATTAGACTATAAAACCGCAATAGCTAACTGTAGTCTTCGATAGGAACTAGTTCACCTTTGAGGCGCATGCTTTTAGTATATCTTTCCATATATGTACACGTCATCTCGAGTCTCGTCCAATTGGCTTGAGTAAGCTGGAGCATATCTATACTGGTTCTAATTCTATAACGGCCTGCTAAGCATAAGGGTAATGCGTTAATGTTTACTCGACTTTACTCTTATCAACCATTGCTACTCGACCAAGGAAAATACAGAACGAACTAGGAATCGTATCTAAGGAAGCTTAGGTAAGTACAGATTATATCTTACTATTTTACCTCTTGATCTCTCAAGCTAGATGCACATCTGAAGTGTATGGGTCTCGTGCCGTCTAAAGCATAATGACCAACCGTAGCAGAAATGATAGAATCAAACTCTGTAAAATAACTGACCGAAGCTGACAATACAAGACAGACGGTAATTTCCATTACTTACCATTCATTACGCCTGGTATGTTCTAAAGTGTACAAGCTCACATCCATCCCTGGCATCCCATGCCTTTGGAGGGATTAGTGCTAATTGCGGAGTTACATAGTTGTATTAATGCAGAGTCCACTCGCACATCGTCACTCTTTCCCACGCTGAACAAATCACCCCACTGGCGACAGGGGGTGTATATGTAGGTGGAGCCTGGCGTTTGGACCCTTTTCTAAGATTGAACAAAAGAGGTGCAAATCTGGAGTCGATGTAATTTAGCCTGCTCTGTTCTGTGTCTCATAGACGCCGCCATCTTCGACCGGGAAACCGGGCTAGATCGCGAATACTGGCAGACATGGCCGTGTGGGAAACCGAAGACGAGTTGAGCAGTGTTGCGGCTTCACCACTGCCAGCTCCCACTGAGACACCTTACCGGACGCCCTCGCGAAACTCAAAGAAGTCGCGTCGTTCTGCTACTCCGCCGGGGGGTTCGTCTTCCCCTCCTCCCCCGTTGCCACAGGATAAGATGGAGAAGAAGAGCAAGCGATTGTCGAAAGATGTAAAGACCGACGAAAACAACAGCATTTTCGACCCTCGCCGATTTACACCTACCCTTCATGCGAACCTGGTGTCGGAGATTCTGTCCTTACGAAGGGACCAAGAAGAGAAACTCAAGATAATCGAAAGCCTTGAAAGCTCACTACATGCTACTCAGGAGGAACAGGAGTCTCTCCAGACCAACCTATCCAATACTTCCAAGGAGAGCAGGTCTTTGAAGCGACAATTATCCCTGCTCGAAGGAGGGACTTCGTCAGCTATAGGCGAGTTAGCAAAGGAACGTGATGAAGCTGTCGACGCGATAACCGAGACTAGGAGACGGCTCGAAGCTGCACAGAAGAAAGTCCGGACGCAAGAGGAAGATTCTCAGAGAGTCCATGATCTCTGGGCTAAGGAGAAAGATGAGTGGGACGAAGAAAGGCGCCGATACGAGCGAAAGATACATGTTGCCGAGAGCCGTCTCAGAGTCGTTCTAGAGGAGGTTGCCAATTTACAGGCAGCACAAATCAACGGGAATCATGATAAACCCGAGAGTGACACCGAGAAGGAAAATGATGGCGTTAGCGTACGAACAATGAGCATGACCAATAGCGTCCGGTATTCGGTGATGAGCGGACCCGGCTTTGGCAAGATGAACGGATACAGTCTTGCCGATGAGCTCAACTTCGACGACGACGATGATTACCAGACGGATCCGGATGGTCGCCAAAGTGTACTCTCGCTTGCAAGACACAACCGAAATCAAAGTCGAGATAGTATTATGTCTAAATCTCATCGACGTAACCAGAGCAATGATAGCCAGATACGACCGGGTAGCATTGTACGAAGTAGACTGTTTATGAACCAAACCGTACTCGATAGGCTCGAAGGTGGAATTCGCGAAGATGACGAGAACTCTGTGGTATCTCAGAAGGTACAGTATACTGACACGGGTGTTCAATTCTCACCACCACCATCTCCTAGGGCAGTACCGGCAAAGCCAGCAACGCCAGAGCCTGTCTTGAAAAGTGAGAAGCAGATGGGCTTAGAAAGTCCATCTCGAGTTGAGGGTGAGATTGAAGCAAACCAGAGTCGCAAGAGGGTATATGTGAACAAGCCAGGACTAATGGAGTCACCTAAAACAAAACCGATGGTATCAGCCGCATCTCAGACATCGGAGAAAGCGCCCTTACTCGTCACATCTCAACCAGTAATCGTGGAGACGAAGCCCGCTGCCGCCACGATTTTGATATCGGCTGCCACTCAAACAGAACCCGTCGTGCCTAAACAACAGCTAGTTACTCCCCCACTTTCGATACCGAGCATTAGCATAGTTCCACCAACTAGTCGACCGTCGAGTCCGCGTGAGCATCGTTTACCTCAGTACGTCAAAGACTTCGGATGCCAGGTTTCTATCTTGCAGTCGAATCCCATGAGGTCGATTTCTGTGCAGACAGATGAGATCAGGGTTGACAAGAGGCTTGACAAATTACCGCCACATCTTCATCCGTCTGCGATCTCTTCAAGACCTTCGTCCCCTACTACCACCACTCCTATTACTGCGACGGCCGATGAGAGCAAAAATTTCACACCGGTGCCTGGACACATTCCTCCGCGAAACCCACGTCGCCTCGAAAGTAACAGACGAAGCTTTTCGGCCGAATTGCCTACTTCGCCACCAGCATCGCCCACCGTCGACGGCTTAGAAACGCGGGACGCATATCCTGGCAACAACGATGATGGTCCGTTATCTAGTGCTAAGGCCCCCGTTAGGCGACCGCATCGTATAAGTAGCCTATTCGCGGGCTTCGATGTTCAAAGCTCAGATGAACAGGACGAGTTTGGTGAGGACCAGAGCGACTCCGAATACCGTACTGCACTTGCCCCGAGACCTAAAACTGGCCCTAGTAAACCTAACAAGCGAGTAGCATCAAGCGCAGCCTCTGCTTCTCCCGAACAAGGTAAAGCCGCCGTTAGACAATCGACGAGTATCCTGAGCAAGATCGGAGTTCCAGAAGTTTACAGTAGTTTCCGCCTCGCTGAGGCCCCAGAGGGTCTAACACGAAAACTGTCTCCCAAGGTGGCCACTGGAGCAGCCGGTAGACCGTTAGCATACAGTACGGGTTCCCGAGCCAGCGTTATGCGAAAATCAGCAATGATTCAGAGCGGTATTGCTTCACATCAAGGCCATTCGCGGACCCCCGACTTGCTCGAATCGAAGGACCCCCCGTTCCCAATTCCTACGAGAGCGAGCTCAAGGAAGCCACCGTTTAGCGTTAGTGCCCCGAGCGACGGCCAACGTAGTCCTACCTACAATGGCGAACATTGGCCTCGTAGAGGCAGGAAAGCTAGCGTGTATAGGACCAGTAGCATCCGCAAAGCCCGTTCAGCGGCAGCGATACCCCAGAACCAGAGGCCCAGAAGACGTGGTAGCCGTTCGCCACCACCGCCCATGTCTCCCTCGGAAGAGGCCCCTGAAAGCCCGGGTCTCCCGCCACTGCCGACCAACGACATCACCAGCCCTCGACGGGAGCGTGGCGGGTCTCGATACCGTAGCCATAGATCTCAGCCTTCGACCAACACTGCAAACACCGAAAATACGAACACGGGTTCCGTCGGTAGCAACCAACAATCATCAAGTGTGGTAGATGCTATCGCGCAGACAATGGTTGGCGAATGGATGTTCAAGTATGTTAGAAGACGTAAGTCTTTTGGTGTAGCCGATGGTGCCGGCCGCGGGGAGGAGAATAGCAACGACCGTCACAAGCGGTGGGTATGGCTCGCGCCTTATGAACGCGCGATCCTGTGGAGCAGCAAACAACCTGCATCTGGCAATGCGTTAATGGGCAAACCAGGCCGGAAGCGTAAGTACTACCGAACTACTAGGTTTAGGACGACACCACTGACCAGATTATAGTGACCATACAATCTGTGCTCGATGTAAAGGATGACAATCCCCCACCCAAAGGCAGCACCCAGATCTTCAATCGCTCTATCCTTATCTTAACACCACAGAGAGCATTGAAGTTTACCGCCACAACAGCTGAGCGTCACTACCTTTGGTTGACAGCACTGTCATTCCTGGCGCATTCACAGCAAGATGTCCCCGAGATCATCCCAACAGCTAACTCCCCAAATATCGGCCCGGCGCCAGACTTCGAAGCGCCTCAGATAAAAGCTAAAAGGGGCGGCATTCGTGACTCGATTAGGCTAACGAAGGGAAAGAATCCTGCTTTGATGGCCCGCCATGACCCTGTTACGACCACCAATCATCTAGAGGAAGCCCTATCAGCCCAACAAGAGACGTTCCCTCCGATACCTGCTCATCAGCGTGACCTGTCGCACGACGCAGCGGAACCCCCCTTCATCCCGCGATTCCATGAAAGGTCACATGAACGAGTACATGAACGGGCAAACCAGGTTATTCTTCACGGTCGTAAGAGGAGTAATACTGGTGGCCACATCCCCCCGCCGCTCTCGTTCCGAGGCTTTTCGGGACCGGCAAGCCATAGCAGCTCCTATCATGCCTCGACCAACAGTACCGCGGGTAACAGCGTGGATACGGCGGGCTCGTCTGATATCTATCAGTCGCAGGGATCCAGCAACATGACCTGGGGTATGAGCACCGCTGGTTCCCAACGAACGTCGGAAGCATCATCTCGACCACCAGGTAACTTCTTCGAAGCGATCGGCACCGTGCGGATGGAGGCTTTTATTAGCCCGTTGGCATTCCCGCGATTCGAAGACCATCCAGACGAGCTAGAGGAGTGGCGATACAGAGCCCGTCGACGGAGTAAAGAAGCTCGTCGTCGCCGTAGCCGAAGCAGACATCGGGATAGCTACGCTTCTCGTGGCACGCGCGGCACAGATTCTTATCATTCCGGAAGTAGGGCAGGAGAAGAAGATTACTTCCGAGATGATCCATTTAAGGGATTTTAATAAGGTCGCTTGTCCTTTTAGTGCTTGTGTTGTGCGCGGAGATACCCTCAAATTCATCGCATTAGATGATACCATTCGTTTAGCAAACAAGGAGGTCAGGGATTATTTATATAATACGGTTTGTTTTTGTTGGTGTTTTGGAGTTTTATGCGTCTTATACTCTTGTAGATATTGCCGAAATCTCGGTGTACGAGTACGACCTGGGTTTCCTTGTCTCAGATTCTTCTACTTCTTTCAACTTGTAACTCGTTTGTCATTTGTCATTTGTCATCTTATATATCGGAAATTAGTCGTTGATGCTCGCAGTCTTCCTCTCTGTCGAGTATTTCTTGTACAATAATTTCAGCTAGTTCTCAGACTATGTTATGGGGTTGGAAAATGGAAGGAGTTGGATGCCTAAGGATAGGATCTGAACAAGGACCAAACAGGATTGGAGGGTGGTTAGGTAGCCCGATGTTATTACCAAGGCAAGGAAAGCAACCTTAGATGAGCGATTGGCTTGGGTCTCAGGACCGATTCTGGGGTTAAAAAATAGTTGGCTCAATGGGGTTGTTGGCATATTATCTGAGGATAGATTTAATCTCTAGCTAGAAGGAAATAAGGATGAAATATCCTGAATACTGTTGTGTTTATTCTGATTTTGATTTGAAATGTTCGATGTAAAGAATGATATGTACCTAGGTACCTAATGTACCGTTTTGCTTTGCTGAAGTGTTCGGGTTTGTACATGACTAATGGATGTTGACATTGAGAAGGAGGGGCAAAGTTGCGGGACGTACCTCGCTAGTAATTCGATACCGGGAAGCCGAGTGGATCATGACTGCCCAGCGTGGCAACGCGAGGCTTCCAAACTTACAGGTACCTAATGCCTGAGCCTTTAATTCTACCAGGTAGCAGGTACACTAAGTTGTCTCATCACGCGAGACGGCGTCCGCCATTCTACCCTTCCTTATCTTTTTTACTTTGTAAATATCATAAAAACCTACCTAACGCAGCATACTACTCCTCGTCCTGCCTCGCTGCATCTACCTACAACCCTCATTCCGAGCCGGCACCAGTGTTTTCTTCCGCCTCATATCCACCCGACTCATTCTAACAAATAAGCCTCCGCTCTACAACCCCCACGATGTTGAAGATATGGTCTATGGTGAATCGCACCAGTCGTTGTATCTTACTATATAACATATTCTAACGGTTATTGTACAGAAATCTGCCCAGCAAAAAGCAGAAAATGCTGATGGCGCAGCTGGGAAAAAGAAGAAGGTCACACCCGCTCAACTACGGGTACAAAAAGGTAACTATCAACATTCTGCTATTTAGTAGTTTATCTTAGTTTTGGTATACTGACTATTCTTGTTATCGCTTTGAATTAGATCTCTCCGAGCTATCTTTAGGATCGACTATGAAAACGATATTCCCCGACCCGGATGATATCCTCAACTTCGTGCTCGAAATCACACCGGATGAGGGCATCTACCAGAACGGATTATTCACCTTCACATTCACCATGGGCCCGAACTACCCGCATGAGCCGCCCAAGGTGCGCTGTCAGCAAAAGATCTACCATCCCAACATCGATCTCGAGGGCAAGGTGTGCCTGAATATTCTGCGCGAGGACTGGAAACCGGTGCTTAACCTGAACGCTGTCATTGTCGGTCTACAGTTCCTATTTCTCGAACCGAACGCCTCGGATCCTCTAAATAAAGAAGCTGCAGACGATCTACGTTCGAGCCGCGACAACTTCCGAAGAAACGTGCGTGCCTCTATGAGCGGTGGTTCGATACGTGGAGTTACATACGATCGGGTGCTCTCTGCAGGTAGGTAAGAACTGGCAGGATGTAAAGGACTTAACGACGAGGCATTTTGCGAACAAAAAGGCGTTTCAGTCCAGTCGGACTATATGATATACTCGAGCTGGCACAATAAGGAACCCTATGCAGATCGGCTGATGCTCAAATGTAAGGGGGCAAGATGAGACCAAAGGAATAAGTTTTAGACTGGCTTTGCGGACGGCACATAGCAAGGCGTTTATGAGGGTGTCGCATTTACTCCAAGGCATCAAGGAGACTGTCAATATCGTCTCTGCTTTTAGTATTTTGCAGCTATAAATCACTTTATGGCCAGGCATTATGCTTATTCCTTTCCATGGACGACCAATGACCACATCACGATAGATAGATAGTAGTATATGAATATGACGAAATTATACGAAATTATCACTACAGGATTTACGTGGGTGTTCTTATGCATTCCTCCCCAGTGCTTACCTAATTAACCAATTTATGATGGCGACTCCATCGTCACCGCCTATTGAAGACGTGGAATTTTCCCTTAGGTGCTTAATCGCAATAGTACCTAGGTACCTGTACTAGAAAGCGGCTTCAAAACTACCTATACTTGTATACGGGTTATTTTAGGAAGCCAGGTGTACCGTGTACCTGTACGATGAAACCACTGCACCCCAAGCCTCAAGGCCCGCTCTAGCCAGACCGGACCGGTGATTTACCCCACCATTGGCCTGCGGGCAACGGATTGATTCGACTCAGCGCCGAAGTCGCAGTTTAAGCTCTTTTGCAGGAGCTCCCAAGACCCTGGAAAAATGAAAAATGGAAAATGAAAAATGGAAAAATAAAAAAAATAAAAAAACGTGGGTAAAAAACTTTGATCTGTAAAACAACAGCGCATTTATAGACATCGTAATACCCATTAAGTTGTCTTATACACCCTTTCTCACCTCAATCTCCACTCAGTAGACTTTTCACGATGGCTTCCAGAGGCTTTTCCAAGGCTCTTCGTAGCCAATTGGCCCGTCGAGTGGCTTCGCCCGCCGTCCAGCAACGTTCTTTCGTTGCTGCGTCCAACATCGCCAGAACTACTATCAAGGCTCGTCCTGCTCTAGCTGGTGCTATTCAGCAGCAGGTTCGCGGTGTCAAGACCATTGACTTCGCTGGAACCTCCGAGGAGGTCTACGGTAGGTTAAGCTAAATATCATATAAGAACATTCATTATATAGGTGTCATCGACTAATACCGTTATATATAGAGCGTGCCGACTGGCCTAAGGAGAAGCTCTTGGTAAGTCCTCAAACCTTGAAATTAGGCTAAGAGAAAATAGAGACAATAGCTAACACCACCTAAAGGAATACTTCAAGAACGATACCCTCGCCCTTATCGGCTACGGTTCGCAGGGTCACGGTCAGGGTCTTAACCTCCGTGACAACGGCCTGAACGTCATCATCGGTGTCAGGAAGAACGGTCAGTCGTGGAAGGATGCTGAGCAGGATGGCTGGGTTCCCGGCAAGAACCTCTTTGAGGTTGACGAGGCTATCTCTAAGGGTACCATCGTCATGAACTTGCTCAGTGATGCTGCCCAGAGCGAGACGTGGCCCGCTATCAAGCCCCAGTTAACTAAGGGCAAGGTATGTTGATATGAGTCACCAATTCTGAGAAGCAAAAAAGTTGACAATTTATAGACTCTATATTTCTCGCACGGTTTCTCGCCTGTCTTCAAGGACATCACCAAGGTTGATGTCCCCAATGACATTGACGTCATCCTCGTTGCCCCTAAGGGCTCTGGCCGAACCGTCCGATCGCTCTTCCGTGAAGGTCGGGGTATTAACTCCTCCTACGCCGTCTTCCAGGATGTCACTGGCAAGGCCGAGGAGAAGGCTCAGGCCCTCGGTGTTGCCGTTGGCAGCGGATACCTCTACAAGACTACCTTTGAGAAGGAGGTATACTCTGACTTGTACGGTGAGCGTGGTTGCTTAATGGGCGGTATCCATGGTATGTTCCTGGCTCAATATGAGGTTCTCCGAGAACGTGGCCACAGCCCCAGCGAGGCCTTCAACGAGACCGTCGAGGAAGCCACCCAGAGTTTGTACCCTCTGATTGGTGCCAACGGCATGGACTGGATGTACGAGGCTTGCTCTACTACCGCCCGACGAGGTGCCATCGACTGGACCCCGAGATTCAAGTCCGCTCTGAAGCCCGTCTTCAACCAGCTCTACGACTCCGTCAGGGATGGTACCGAGACTAAGCGATCGCTCGAGTACAACAGCCAGAAGGATTACCGACAGAAGTTTGAGGCTGAGATGGAGGAGATCCGCAACATGGAGATCTGGAAGGCCGGCAAGGCTGTGAGGTAAGAATCACTCGGGACTAGAAAGTCCAAATTTACACTACTTTGATCATGGCTAATCAATTTCTTCGTACAGATCTCTCCGACCCGAAAACCAAAAATAAGTGCATTTGGCGTTAAAACTATGAGGATCGGAATGGTAAACTAAAAGGTGGTGGCATATTCCCCGGGGGCAACGGGAGCTTTTGTACTTATATTCGGGATTCCCCAATGTCGTCTCACGAAGATCTAGGGATATTCCCCCAAAAAAGTGTTCCTAGTCGAATTTTCAATGAAGCTTTTAAAATCAATTGTCTTCAGGCTACTTTCACTCCTTTCGGATCCTCAAGTACTCAAGTGTTGCTTTCTCCGTTATCGGACCTTAATAACAAATCGTAGATTTTTGACTGGATGAAGTTCTTGCGGCCAGGCTAGCCTTAAACATCTACCAAGTCCTTGCCAGTCTTGGTATAATCTTGTTAGCTTTGACTTGAGAGTATCTGAAGAGGATTGGCCAAGTATACGATAATTAGACCTTGACTTGCATAACCTACCTACCTACCTCACAAGACATCCCATCCATTTACTCACTTATCTATATATACTACCTTTTACAACCTCTCTTCACGCCATTTAGTTTTAGTTAGGTAGTTACTAAAACCCTCCCCATTGGCCCCAGAGCAAGACCGAATCAAGGAATTCAAAGCCAACTTATGGCGGACCCATCCACGTCGCCGCCCCTGACGCGGGCCTCGGTGGCAGCGGCCCGGGAGCTTATTAAGCCGTTCGTGCACCGGACGCCGGTGGTCACGAGCGCATCGCTCTCGGCGCTAGCTTCCGGCACGGATGCGGATGCGGATGCGGATGCGGATGCGGATGCGGATGCGGATGCGGATGCGGATGCGGGAAAGGCAAATCCGAAGCTGAGGCTCTGGTTCAAGTGCGAGAACTTTCAGAAGGTGGGCGCCTTTAAGGCCCGCGGCGCGTTCCATGCTATCGAGAGGCTGAAGCAAGAACCTGGCTGGTTGGAGGGGGGAGGGCCGGAGAAGGGCGTTGTTACGCATAGTTCTGGTTTGTTTTTGGGGTTTCTTACTGTGCTAATTAATATACATGACTACCTACCTACCTACCTACCTACCTATGTTCTTTCATATTGCCCTGATATTGTAATTTAAATATAGCCTCACAACACTCACCACATTCAAGACTACCTAACCTACCTAACCTAACTAACCACCACCAACCAACCAGGGAACCACGCACAAGCGCTCTCCCTCGCAGCCCGCACCAACGGCATCCCCGCGCACATCGTAATGCCCAAGATCTCGGCGCCGCCCAAGATCGCCGCGACCAAGGGCTACGGCGCCCGTGTGATTTTCAGCGGCAGCACGAGCGTCGAGCGCGAGGCCGTCACCGCCAAGGTCATCGAGGACACCGGCGCGCGCCTCGTGCCGCCCTACGACCACCCGGATATTATTCTGGGCCAGGGCACGCTGGGCCTCGAGTTCCAGGAGCAGGTCGAGGCTCTGATGGCCGAGGAGGACGGGAACGAGGGGGCGGAAAAGAAGACGGGGAGGAAGAAGGGGCTTGATGCCATTATTGCCCCTTGTGGTGGCGGCGGTAGTAAGTGTCTATTTTTGATTAACTATCTTATTTTCAGTCTTACTTTAAGAGTCCGGTTATTCTAGAGACATGCATATGCTGGCTACCGACCGTATACTCTCTCCTCTTCCCCTTTCTAAAAACAAGCCGTGACTAACACTAACCGCCTACAGTGCTCTCCGGTGTAGCCCTCTCCTGCGAAGGCACCGGGATCCGGGTCTTCGGATCGGAGCCCTCATTCCAGGGCGCCGACGACGCGAAGCGAGGCTACGAGTCGGGCACTCGCGTGGAAACCGTGTCTTCATTAACCGTAGCGGATGGTCTGCGCACGCCGCTCGGTCGCATTCCCTGGTCCGTCATCTACGAGCGCCGCCTTGTGTCCGGCTTTTATAGCGTCAGCGAGGCCGATATCATCCGTGCGCTACGCCTCGCCTACGAGCGCCTTAAGGTCGTTATCGAACCCAGTTCCGCCGTGCCCCTTGCCGTCGCCCTGTATAATGAAGACTTTAGGGCAATGGTCGAACGCGAGGCTGGTGAGGACGGTTGGGATGTAGGTATTGTGTTTAGCGGAGGGAATGTCAGTTTAGAGGCTTTGGGTAAGCTATTCTCCGAGAGTCCTGAAATAGCCAAGTAAATATAGAAATTTTTTCTCCTTTGAAGACGTAGTGAATATATAATTATGTGAATTAAATTTATGTATCTTGGGGTTAAATTAGAGGGCCTTGCTAATACTCGGCCTATATGATAGAGAAGGCGGCGCTATACGACTAAAATGATACTCTACCTCAACCTACATGCTTCCAAAATTTCCTCATATCGTCAGCGTCTCGTTATGTCATGAACGAGGCCTCTTAGGCTCGTTCTCATTAAATAATCCGAAATGATTGTTGGGCTCATTTACTTAGAGCCTTGTCCATCTGTTCCCTCCATTTCCGACTGTTCTTTCGCAGGAACCAGATCGATAAGTTGCCGCTTAGCCAGGCGATCAAGCCGACCATAGTCATCAGCCATCCAATGCCCATAGCATTGATGAGAGGTTGGCCTACTATACCACCCACGCAGCTGAATATATTCCGCACGAAGTTATTAAGAGCAACACCGCTACTACTTCTCTGGGGCATGAATTCGGTGAGCATAGTGGTAGCAGCACTAAAGACAAGCATACTACCGACGCCGAAAAAGAAGTTAGCTACAGATGGTGCCATCCAGTGAATTCCATACTGTATTGTCCAGCCGGACCAGATTAATGCCCCAGGATACAGTGTGGCGGAGATCCATGCGTTCTCGCGCATACGATCCTCGGGTAGATAGATGAGCTTCCCATTGGAGTCGTATCTTTGGGCCTTCTCCGCTGCCCGGACCATGATCCGGTCGATCCATCGCCCGCCAAGCAGCGACGCTGCAAAGTAACCTAGCGAGCTTGGCAGGTACAAAAGCCCTATGATGATAGCTGAGTAACCATACGGAGCTGACGAGAATGCCGATTGAATGGATATGTTAAGTACGTATAACGACCCAAAAGTGATGGCAGCATAATACACCGTAATTGCCACAGCGGGGAAACGTAGGTACATGATTATCTCAAGCGGATCGACAAAGCACTTCTTTAACTGTACGAATGCCTGTTTAGTGTGCACCTGCACGGAGCGTGTAGTAGAAACGCGCGACAGGCCGTCAGGGTGCGATGGTGGTTCGGCTGCAGTCGTAGGCTTACGTTTCGCCAAGGTCTCCGGGACACAGAACAAGACAAGGACGAAAACGACAGCGCCATAAGCAGTTAGGAACCATACGGTACTCCTCCAGCCAAACCCTTCTGTGAGAGCACCGCCTATGATCGGGGCCAAAAGGGGTCCCATAAGCGGTCCAAGATAGAAATACCCCATGGCGCGGCCGCGTTCCCGAGGTTCCCAGCAATCGGCGATTGTGCCGGCGCCGACAGCTTGGACGGAGGCGGCAGCACCACCCGATAGGATACGAAACACAATAAGCATGCCAATATTGACACTTAGGCCGCTCAGTAGCGAGAAGATAATGTTTAAGAAGAAGGACGAGAGATAGATATTACGACGTCCTAGAGTTTCGGAGAAAGAACTCCACCAGAGCGGGAAGATTGACATTGCTAACATGTATAATGCTACCGTCAAATTTACAACTGTTGGTGAGGCACCGAGGTCCTTTGACATGTCCGGAAGGGCAGCTAATATGATCAGGTGAGTCTTCTAATACACCTTGACTAAAGGGGGTTTGTGCTACACTATAATGGAAGGTATATATTCGCTTACGATAGAAGATGGCAGACCCCATTGGCGCTGCGCACGCCGCTAAGGCTATGAAAACTGTTATTGTCCATTTCACTTTGTTTGGATAATCGTAAGGTCGCTCGACCTCTGGGATCAAAGTCAACTGCGCAAGGAAACCTCGCCGTTTCAACCTTGGCACTATGGACAGCGGCTTAGACCGAGCAGATGATGCTTGGGACCTAACTCGGCCCATTGGTACTGTAGCCGCAGCCTCTTCGTCTACCAAGATACCATTTGGAGTTAACAGCTGGTCAGGAACGGCGTCTATAGATTCAACCTCCACATCACGGTCCGTGGTGGTTATAGACGCGGCAGTATCATCATCTTCTGGGCGCGTTCCTTGCAACTTATTGTTCTCTGCCTTCTCGTCCATCTTTTCTGGGTCGACAGCCATATCCAATTGTTTTTGCTCACCAGAGCAATAACACTTAGCGGTGTGTTGGCTTTAAGACAATGGCTGGTAACCGATATCGGTGGGGTAAGGTAAAAAACTAAGCGAAATATAGGTTTTATGATATTGGAAGGCTCTTAGTGAAGGGAGCTTCTTCAGTCAACCAGTGGTGAAAGCCTATTACGTATGTGAGGATAGCTATAGCGATGAGAATGGGTTTCTCAGAGAGTGAGTGTTGGAGATGATGAATGAGCAAAACGACGTAAAGATTGGAAAATAGAATCTTGTCTGTCGATATTGTTGGATGATTTGCTGCTTTACTTTTGTGTGGGGAAAGCCTGCATCTGAAAGTTGAAATGCCGACAAAACCGAGACTATGACCGACGGCTGCTTGGGTCAGTGATTCCGTTCGGGTATTGATTCCGATACGCCAGACCGTAGCCGGCAAGAGGAGCGATCTCCATCGGCTAGGTCGACAAGGTTACAATCCTACCTAGGTACTCTATTTCGGATGTATGTTCAAATACATCCCGGAAGCTATCCGAAGCTGATTGTAGACTATCCATGAGAGGCTCTTAGGTATGGAAGTTATTGGTATGTTTATTCGGAATATTCGGAAGATGGATCCTCATCGGCTATCGCACCTTGAGAACCCCACAGCCCTCGTAAAGAGCCAACAGTAAAAGAAGGCTAACATGAAGTCTCAAACAATACGTTACCAGATGTTGGTGTGGTAGTTCTTGTTGGATGACGATATTGAGTTGCATGAAGATGGTAAAGTGCAAATGTATTTTACATGTGGCAGAGATAGAGGATGCAGTGTAGAGGCTGAGGTCTATTGTGGCTTAGCTTGCCTTACACAGGTACATAGTCTGTGTAACTGCCCAGGTGATAGGGTAAATCTTTAGTGGGTAGTGGCCGTTGATAACCTTAGCCGGTATTAACCACTCAGATCGTTTTCTCGACGCCATCAAACTTCCGATATACACTATTTAAGGTACCTACCTGAGCTACACTGCATGTAGGCACATAGGCACATTCCATATTCCATATTCCACATTTGCAATGTCTCTCACAAACGCATCCCCTTCAGAAGCCGCCAAATCAGCGAAAGAAGCATCGCATATACTCGCTACACTATCCGAGTCGGCGAGAAACGATGCTTTAACAGCCATATACGATAGCTTAACTGCTGCTAAGGATGATATACTTGCCGCCAATGCTCGTGACCTCCAAGCCGCACGCTTAGCAGCAGAGCATGGACAGCTAAGTCAAAGTTTGGTATCGAGGTTAGATCTCGGCAAGAAAGGGAAATGGGAGGACATGCTTAAAGGAATACTTGACGTTCGAGGTCTCGAGGACCCCGGTGAGTCACTAACATAGTTGGGCTCAATGTGCGTAAAACTAATGGCATTAAAGTCGGCAAGATTACCTTAAGAACTAAGCTTGATGATGGACTGGAGTTGACAAGAGTCACTTGTCCTATTGGCGTTCTACTGATCATCTTCGAGGCGCGACCTGAGGTTATTGCCAATATCGCTTCCCTTGCAGTAAAATCAGGCAATGCCGCTATCTTGAAAGGTGGTAAAGAGTCAACAGAGTCCTTCGTTGCCATTTCCAAGGCCATTTCTGCAGCCCTGGACAAGACCAAGGTCCCTAATGGTGCCATCCAGTTAGTCACCACAAGAGATGTAATACCGCAGCTGCTAGACCTCGATCAATACATCGATCTTGTAATCCCCCGGGGCTCTAACGAATTGGTCCGATATATCAAGTCATCCACCAAGATTCCGGTCCTCGGCCACGCCGATGGCTTATGCTCTATCTTTCTCGAGCAGTCAGCAGACCCGAAGATGGCAGCAGATGTAATTGTTGATTCTAAGACCAGCTATCCCGCAGCGTGCAACAGCTTGGAAACATTACTAGTGCAGGAATCATCTCTGGACACACTTCTCCCCACAGTAGCCGAGGCCCTAATTGCGAAAGGCGTCGTATTACGCTGCGATACCAAAGCCAAAGCGGCACTTTCTAGCAAGCTGCCTTCCGATCTCTCTACAAAGCTCGAGGATGCCCAGAGCGCCGACTACGATACTGAGTTTCTCAGCCTTACGCTTGCAGTCAAAGCAGTTACAGACATCCATGAAGCAATTGCCCACATCAACACCCACGGTTCCAAGCATACGGACGTAATATTAACCAGCTCTTCGGAACTTGCTGAGCAGTTTATGTCGAGCGTAGATGCGGCAGGCGTGTACTGGAATGCCTCAACTCGCTTTGCCGACGGTATGAGGTACGGTTTCGGGACAGAAGTTGGCATCAGCACAAATAAAATCCACTCTCGGGGCCCCGTAGGCTTGGAAGGCCTCATGATATACAAATACAAAATCCGAGGGCAAGGTCATGTCACGGCAGCCTACGGCGAAGGCGAAGGAAAGAAGAGCTATAAACATGAGAAACTCCCCTTGTAGGTCGTTGCGCTTTAGGAGCGACATATGTTGAAATCTAGTGGCGTTTAGGAAGCATAGTGCGTAGGCAAAAAGTTATAAAAGTCTTTGAATTACACTATATGGCAAGACCATAGTGGTTATATAACTCCCGGTCCTTGGCTGCCAAGAGTAAAATTATATCCCGTTAGTATTGATTGTAGATGAGACCCCCATGAGAGCTCCCTCTGCTTGTCGTACTATAAATAGAGTAAAAGGAAGCTGTATATTTATATTGAGCCATGCGCTTTCTTTAAAGTCACCCGTACGTATCAAGATATCATGTCATTAATCATTTTATTCGGGTTTTCCAGGGTAGTGAGTAAGGCTAGGTGAAAATAGGGAGGTGTATGAAATCTAGTTGTACCTCAGACTTGAATCGTGGTACAACACATTTGGAGAAGCCCAGGTAAGTCTGTCACCTTAAGGTACCTAGACATATCCAAGCAGCATTGTGTGCAAGGTGTTCCAAACATCAGATGGTCGAGTGGGATAGTAGTTGAATATGTACTAACAAGTGTTATAATATAGTGCTTATACCTAGCAGCTGAAGCTAGATATTAATACTAATCACCGTGTTCCTAGGAGCCCTTTACGACATTAAATACAGATCGGCCAGTAGAAAGTAAGTACTTAGAACTTTTTAGGACACCTTTGAAGGAATGACCTTTACGAGGCAATTGTTTTTAAGGTTATTAGCTTCCATCTTTAAACAACATCCTTTAAGCCTTTGAAGGATCCCAGACCTTGGGGCCGGGCATAGTATAGTTAGTTCTATATTTCATCTTAGTACATTGATGATACCTGGAGGTTGGATAAATGGTGAAAGCTATTTCTTGTCTGCAGTTAAATCAAAAGACGCATATCAAGGAGAAGAAAAGAAACACAATACTCACATAGATACTGTGTCCGATTGTGCGGTTATACAGTTGGCCTGCCATCCATAAACCAGGGTCATCCGGGCTATATGCACCAGGGAATTCGACAAGGTAATCCTCAGAGGGAGTAGAATCACCGTCTCCAGTGACCTCTAGCTGTGCACACTCAGGGTAGAACTGCAGGCTCGCCTCGAGATTGGTGGTTTCGTGCCGAATCAAGTAGTTACCGGGCTTCAGGTTAGGAATGGTGATGTTCCAGACACCAACGGAGTTTCCATGTTCGATTACATAGGTAGTCTTGCCACCACCGGTACTTAGTTGAGATGGGCATGTCCGTGCCGTAGTTATAGGCACCCTCCAATCCCTTGGAGTTGTAGCCTGCCTCCCAGATCTTAAACCAGCGCTTCCCGGTGCCGTCCCATTCGTAGCACTATCGGTAATCAGCCGCCGTCACTACAATATAGACTACAAGGTACCTAGGATGATTTCTCGCATCCACCGTTGGAGAGTTGGTCTGGGAAGAGATACGTTGTGACAATTAAGGGAAAGTACTCACGGGTCCTTGACAATCTGCCATATACACCATCATCGGCCCCTGGCTGTGTACCCATGTATATTACTCCGGCCCGGAACATTTCATGGGTCTGCCCGATAGATTGGGTCGGGCCACCAGCGGCGCTGGATCGACACCTGCCCTTCTTCCGGGAGCCAGGGGTAATGCCTAGCAGATCTCTTTAGCGAAGAAAGGTCGGGGAATTAGATCGGAGATAGGGGTGATTGGCTGGCTTGCCCAGGGTACTCCGCGCCGTCAATGGTATAATTGTATATACCTCCATGACCATAAACCTTGGCGATAGCCACCGCGCTAGCAAGAAGCGAGATTGACTTCATCTTTCTATGATCTGTGAGGTCCACGACCAAGTATCTAGCTAAGTTAAGTGATGTGAAAACGAAACAGATGCTGGATTTGCGTGGATATCTCCTTTGGTCAGTCAATTCCTCACGATGTATATATACATCTTCGCCCGGGAGAATAAAGCTCTCCGACAAAAGTTCCCGTCCTGTGAAGCTCGGAGTGACCCCTAATCGAAAATATAGATATATATGCGTGCCGCAAGATCCCGCTGTAGCATTTTTACTCACATAAGGTAGCTGTCAGGATTCTAGATGAGACATCTAGAACAAAGGAACTGTCCAGTATGTATAGACGATAGATCTTCATAGGTAGTTTAGAGTTCCTTGCGGAACAACGAAGTTGTTTCCATACTGTTTCGTTCCACCTCGTGACAGTAGCTTCCAGGCCTAATTCTGCCAACTTACGCGGGGTTCGTAGGTGAACCAACAGAGCAAGACAAGAGGTGCATTGCATTCGCTCGACGGCTAAACTAAGAATACCGACCTTTATCATAAGGGGATTGCCAACATCATCGGATTAGTATAGGCTATTCGAGGTAGTATGGTGAGGAACGGAATCATCAAACAGCTTCCTGTTTAGCATCACTGGAAAATGCTGATTCCGATTGACTATTCGAGGCCCCTACTTGCTCATATTCGTCACCAATGACAAGATACGACGAGGTAGGGATAATCCGAGAACCCGAGTAGAAGTAGAAAACATTATGATGATAAAAATAGTAAAACTTCCTGTTGTAGTGGAAGGATAAAAGGTGCTGGCGGCATAGCTGATTCCATACCGCGATGTAGATGAGGTTACGACTACGAGTATAGATAGTAGTTAACCTTGCTTGGCTTGGGAGTCTTTTATGGAACCAGAACATGGAAAACCATGTAACAGAGACCATATCGAGTTGAAAGATAGAGGGTGTCAGTTCGTACTAATATAGGTAGACTTTAATGATAATTGATATTTATATAAACACTCAATCTAGAGGGACAGTTGGAACACATATGTAAGCTATATTATAGACTTACATTATAACTAATTCTCTAAGGAAGCACGGTAATGGTTTGTATTACTTTCCCCTTAGTATGGCAGGATAGAAGAAGTAGTTGGACGTCCTTGATAGATATATCCTACCGGGTGTTAGAGTAGTTAATAGGTATTTATAATGAGTAGTTCCTCTTAATAATAAGAGTGTTGTAGTATATTTACGAGAAATGAAATCCAAGGGTAAGTTGCTTTTGGGTCTCTTGGGCCCGGACTAGCTTCCTCGCTACTCAGATCGAATGTAGCAGTATCGGGAAATATTTTCTGACGTAAATGAATCCTATGCATTGTCTCCACACTGATATCCTTAAAATCCTGCAAGATGCAAAGCGAATCGACCCATAGAAGCTCCAGTCTCACGTGTCGAATATTGCTAACCGTAATCCGTATTCTAAAGACTTTGGTGCAAAGCCAAGAGAGAGGGATTTTGTCCTTTCCCCCTCTTCTGTACTCCCGGTTCCGTACTGCATACTTCTCTGGCTCTGTGCGAATCGAGCCCGTAAGGCACCAGCATAAAATGGATATGCAGCAGTTGAATAATAGTGAAGCTAACTAGTCGCAGATACGAGGCTAAACTGGCTATACATAGGGATGGCTGGGCTTACATATATATTGATTTTAACACTTACACATTGCATGTCATAGTATCGATATGCTGCTTGAGGTTAGCTTCCTAATTCACTTCTATAATAATGTGAAAGAGTAAAAAAGGGGCAGGTAGAGTATATGCAGTTACTATCCAGTTGAATATGCATATATCTGCGGTGGTAGGAGCAGGATAGTGGAACATAGGGGTACAGGGGAGTGTTCCTAAGTATTTCTCGTGTTGAGACTTTTCGCTGTAAGCAATCATTATACTCATAACTTTCTATTCATAGAACGTTTTACCTAACCTAACCGTAGTTAATTACATCTTTCGTGTTGTCGTAATAACAACTATCCTACACGAAAAAGCAATGGATGTGGATGACTCACGTAAATTCATGTCGACTGGCGTTAATATTCCGTCTAACGCACTAAGAAAAGAAAAGAAGAAAAAGGGTCTACTATTAAAAGTTGGAAAAAGTGGTACGATATTGCTGCATCAACAACTTATAGACTACTAATGTATACTACTAATGTATACTACTAATGTATACTACTAATGTATACTACTAATGTATACTACTAATGTATACTACTAATGTATACTACTAATGTATACTAC